CTCCTGACCTCGTGATCCGCCCGCCTCGGCCTTCCAAAGTGCTGGGATTTCAGGCAGTGAGCCACCGCGCCCGGCCTGAAGACATATCTTGGTCAGAAGAAATCTTTATGTTTTCTTTCCTCCTCTTGTGAAGCTGACTGGATTCAGGTAGCATGGCACCATTTCATAGAGCCATAACTTTGGGCAAGTTACTAAGGCTCTTTGTGCCTTAGTTTTTCCATTGGAAAAACGTGTTTAGAACAGTATTTCTCTTCTATTGTTCTTGAGAGGGTTCAAAAAACTAAAATGATTAAACAGACTCACGCAGATTGTTGCGTAATAGGAAAATTGAAAGGTAAATATTCTCATTTAACATAGATTCTGCATCCTCCGGGTCTGGAGTCACCTAAGCAGATCCCGCCCTTGGGGGCACTCCATATTTTCAGGACTACTCTCCTGGAGTTGGGTGGGCACGCTAGGTTTTGGAGGAGACCCTGCAGAATTTTGTGCAAAGGAGGCCCCAGACAAATGTGCCCATACAACTGCTCAGGCATGAGGAATGGAAGGGTGGGCTCGCCTCCACCCTGTTGCTGGGCTCAAGAGAAAGTGGCAGAAGGACCATGGTGGGGATAGTGACAGGCAGTGCTAGAGGGCAGGAGGGCAGAAAGCAAGGGTCACATCCACGACGGTTCTCTGCACACAACTCCCTCGCCTCGCTCGCCGGCTCAAGCCTATCCAGGGACGAAGCTGGGGTTGCACACCGGCTCCAGGAAAGGCGAAATACCGCAGATGGGGTGGTGGGGGTGGGAATATTGCGACCACCAGAGGCTGGGTTCCCGGAACACTCGGGGACGGGGATGTCCAGCAACCACAAGGAAATGCGGAAAATGGAGAAGTTGCGGGGAGCAGGACAGCAGGGGCGCTGCGGACGACCGGGTGCACAGGCCTGAGCGAGCGAGCGAGCGCCAAACAAGACACCCGCGGTGCACACCTTGCGCCCGGCCCGCCTGCTGCTCACAGTTCCGCCAAGTACCCACAGGAGGCCCAGACTCAGCGGGGCGGGTGCAAGCGCGGGGCGGGGCCTCTGCGTACGGTCCCATCTCCGCCTGCAGAGGGAGCAGCCGGCTACAGGCTCCAAAGCGCATTCCAGCTGCCTGACGGCCTCTTCGCCTCTCCGCTCTTCTCTTGGCTGGAAATGGACCCCAACTGCTCCCGCGCCACTGGTAAGGGAAGCCCGGCTCTGCGCCTGGGAATGCCCAATTTCCAGCCACAGTACAGTGTCCCTGCGTTTGAGGAGGTCGCATTTTGAGCTCTGAGCAGAAGGGGACCCTTTACTTCGTCCAGTACTTTCTCCTTGGAATAGCTCCTGAGAGCATTGCCCTTCTCACTGTGCCTCTATGTCACAGTTGAGTGTTCTGAGGCTCAAGGCTGCCCTGTTCCACGTCACCTGGTTGGTCAGGGGGCTGCTGGCCAAGCCCCAATGCTCTGTCCAGGCTCTGAGCAAGCAGGGTGGGTGGGAGGCAGGAAACACTGCGCCTTTGAGATTCAGGACAGGAGGTTTTGGGCCCCAGTCCGAGTCTTCCTGGGTTGTGTGTGCATCTGGGACCTTCATGGTGGGGTAAAACAGGAGGGTGCTTGCCCTTCCCAGCATGAGTGGAGAGGACGTGGGGCTTGTCTCCCTCTGTCCTGAGTGGGAAAGGAGCTCTGAGGGCTGGCCCTGCACAGAGGATGGCGCACTGGAGACTCAATGAACCACTGCTGTACCTTCTGCGTCTCACTCACTGCTCACTGCCTTTATCTCTTCCTTCCAGGGGCCTCCTGCTCCTGTGCCAGCTCCTGCAAGTGCAAACAGTGCAAATGCACCTCGTGCAAGAAGAGTGAGTGTGGGGCCATCTCCAGGAATCTGGCGCTGTGGCTAAACTTGGGAGGGAACTCAAGGCTGGCCTGGAGTGCATGCTTCTGGGGAACGCCTTTCTTTGCCCCTGTTGGCCATGTCATTCCCTCTCCAGGCTTTCTGCTCTGCGTTCGAATGCGGCAGGGCAGCCTTTTTCTATTGAGACACAAACCCCAAAGGTACCACCTGTGGTCTCAGAACAGAGCTGTGCCAACCTAAAAAGATATCCTCCAGGTCTGGAATCTGACCTCGGGCCAGGCCTGCTGTTGACACAGGGAGGTGCCTGATGGAGTCGGCTCTGACCTCTCACTCTCCCTTTTTCCCCAGGCTGCTGCTCCTGCTGCCCTGTGGGCTGTGCCAAGTGTGCCCAGGGCTGCATCTGCAAAGGGGCATCGGAGAAGTGCAGCTGCTGTGCCTGACGTGGGGACAGCTCTGCTCCCAGGTGTAAATAGAGCAACCTGTACAAACCTAGATTTTTTTTTTTATACAACCCTGAGCCATTTGCTACATTCCTTTTTCTATTAAATATGTAAATGACAATAAAACAGTTTTGACTTGATTCTGACTCTCCTTTCCTTTGTGTGACTTCGAATTAATGGACCAGGGTTAGAGATTGAACCAGGAGTTGAGAGACCCGGGCTTTGGATGGAAATCTGAGTCGCTAACAATCTGAGCACCTTCAGGCAAGCCAAGTTACCTCACTGAGCTTCATCTTCTAGAAAATGGAATTGCACTGTACCAGATCATAATGGGGGGACATCCATGATCACCTCTGGTCATATCAAATGTGGCACAGAAACTTCTCCATCTCTCATTTTTATTTTCTGATTTCCCTACCCAATTTCAGTTTCCTCATCAGATTTTAGGCTTCAAAGAGATGACAGGGGTGGAACCCAATTCCTCAGCTGCTTGATTCCCACACTGGGCTTCTCAGACTCCGTGGTGAAGGAACTTTTTACTACCTTTTACTACCTATGCTTCCCAGACATAAACCTTTTTTTAAATTTTGGTGTGTAAAACACTGATTTCAGAAAATACATTTTTAAAACTTTGTTATTTATACAAAAAGAGAGAGATTTCTCAAGAGGCTGATAGCAAAAGGCCACTGTGGATCAGAGCCTGATGAAACTAGCAATTTTAGCCTGGCATAGTCCCAGCTACTTGGGAGGCTGAGGTGAGATTAGTTGAGCTCGGGAGGCGGAGGTTGCCGTGAGCCAAGATCGTGCCACTGCATTTCAGTCTGGGCGACGGAATGAGGCTCTATCTCAAAAAAAAAAGTAAAATAAAAATAAACTAACAATGTTTCAAAACTCTGGTTACAAAGAAGAAAAGGGAAGCCATCCCAAGGCTGGGATGTTGCTACCTGCTCCCCAACTCCTGACCGCAGATACCAAGTGACACTGAGGCTGGGGAAGGCTGCATGGCCTGAACCTTGGTGCTCCAGATTGACACTTGCTTCAAAATCTTGGCTTTGGCAAAAACCATGGCAAGTTGATGAGTAAACTGTCCTGCTGAGCGGTGTGGTGGAGGATGCTTCCTCTTAGGTGGGAAGATAAATATAATTATGTCAATTATGGAGAAAATGAAATCAAACACAAAATACAAAACACAATTTTTCACATTTAACAGGGAAGAATTCAATAAATGCATAAAGAAGTAACAGAAAAATTGGCCAGGCACAGTGTCTCATGCCTGTAATCCCAGCACTTTGAGAGGCCGATGCAGGTGGATCACCAGAGGTCAGGATCTTGAGACCAGCCTGGACAACACGGTGAAACCCCGTCTCTACTAAAAATACAAAAATTAGCTGGGCTTGGTGGCAGGAACCTGTAATCCCAGCTACTCAGGAGGCTGGGGCAGGAGAATCGCTTGAACCTGGGAGGTGGAGGTTGCAATGAGCTGAGACCCTGCCACTACACTCCAGCCTGGGTGATAGAACAAGACTCCATCTCAAAAAAAAAAAAAAAAAGTAACAGAAAACTTGAAGATTTACAAACTCTGCACATATGTTCATGAGTGATGTACACTATAGACTAGAAACGATGGACTGGTGCCATTGTGTGAACCACACACTTTCATCCGCACTGGCCATGACAACCTCACAAGGATACCATCAGCTGGGCTGAGGGCAGTGGCTCAAGCCTGTAACCCTAGCACTTTGGGAGGGTGAGGCCAGCAGATTGCTTGACCTCAGGAGTTCGAGACCAGCTGTGGCACACAGCGAAACTTGTCTCTACAACAAATGCAAAGTGTAATTGGGCTTGGTGATGTGTGCCTGTACTCCCAGTTACTCAAGTGGGGGGTGAGAGAGGGTGGGTAAGGTGGGCGGATCGCTTGAGCCCAGGAGGTGAACGTTGCCATGAGCAGAGACCTTGACACTGCACTCCAGCCTGGTTAATACAGCAAGACTCTGTCTCAAAAAGAGAGAGAGAGAGAGAAAGAAAAAGAGAATTAGCCTGCCCAGAGTTATAGGACACTTGCTGACACCTGAGAGTTCCCTGTTGTGACTTGGCTCTGAATCTTTGAAAGTTCTGCCCAAGCTCAAGCTGAATTTTCCCTTTCAAATTTCAGCCCTTGACTATGTCAATCCATCAAAGTGACTTGGGTTGTGGAGGAAAGAGCCGAGCATTTTCCAAGCACGATGCAGTGTGTGTAATCATGGGTTGCAGATGTTCCCGTTTGCCCACGCAGGAGTGATAGCAGATCCCGCAGTTTGGGGAGTGTGGGGAGTGTTCATTAGGAAAGAGTGAGGCCCTAGCTGACTTGTAATTAAAGCCAGTGATTAGTCCCCCCTGGCTATGTGGATGGAATCCTATTTGATGTTCAATCAAAGAGGAAGATGAGTCTCTTGGCCTAGAGGTCAGGGCCACTGACCTCTCTGTTTCCCTGTGAAGAGATTTCAGAAGGCAGCCTGAGCCTAGGGCATGGGTTTTGGTGTCAGGCAGTCTTGGTTCACAGCCTACTTCACCACCAAAAAACAAAAAAAGTGAGAGTCTCATCTTTGAAAGAGAAATAAAAGCAACTTTGGAACTGGGTAACAGGCAAGAGTTAGAACAGTTTGGAGGGCTCAGAAGACAGGAAAATGTGGGAAAGTTTGGAACTTCCTAGAGACTTGTTGAATGGCTTTGCCCAAAATGCTGACAGCGATACGGACAATAAAGTCCAGGCTGAGGTGGTCTTATACGGAAATGAGGAACTTGTTGGGAATTGGAGCAAAGGTGACTTTTGTTGTGTTTTAGCAAAGAAACTGGTGGCATTTTGCCTTTGCCCTAGAGATATGTGGAACTTTGAGCTTGAGAGAGATGATTTATGGCATCTGATGGAAGAAATTTCTAAGCAGCAAAACATTCAAGAGGTGACTTGGGTGCTGTTAAAGGCATTCAGAATTACAAGAGGAACAAAGCATAAAAGCTTGGAAAATTTGCAGCCTGACAATGCAATAGAAAAAAAAAAAAAACCCTTTTCTGAGGAGAAATTCAAGCTGGCTGCCAAAATTTGCATAAATAACAAGGAGCAGAATGTTAATCCCGAAGACAATGGGGAAAATGTTTCCAGGGCATGTCAGAGGACTTCACAGCAGCCCCTCCCATCACAGGCCCAAAGGCCTAGGAGGAAAAAGTGGTTTCATGGGCTAGGTCTAGGGTCCCTGTGCTGTGTGCAGCCTAGGGACTTGGTGCCCTGCATCCTAGCCACTCCAGCCATGGCTAAAAGGGGCCAATGTAAAGCTCTGGCTGTGGCTTCAGAAGGTGCAAGCCCCAAGCCTTGGCAGCTTCCACATAATGTTGAGCCTGTGAGTGCACAGAAGTCAGGAATTGGGAGCCTCTGCCTAGATTTCAGAAGTTGTATGGAAATGCAGAAGTTTGTTGTAGGGGTGGGGCCCTCATGGAGGACCTCTGCTAGGGCAGTGTGGAAGAGAATGTGGGGTCAGAGCCCTCACACAGAGGCCCTACTGGGGCACTGCCTAGTGGAGCTGTGAGAAGAAGGCCAGCTCCAGTCCTCCAGACCCCAGAATGGTAGATCCACCAACAGCTTGCACCATGTGCCTGGAAAAGCCACAGACACTCAATGCCAGCCATATAAGCAACCAGGAGGGGAGCTGTAAAGCCACAGGGGCAGAGCTGCCCAAGACCTTGGGAACCCACCTCTTGCATCAACGTGACCTGGATATGAGACATGGAGTCAAAGGAGACCACTTTGGAGCTCTAAGATTTGACTGTCCTGCTGGATTTTGGACTTTTATGGGGCCTGTAGCCCCAAAACATTTTGGCCAATGTCTCCCATTTGAAATTGCTGTATTTACCCAATGCCTGTACTACCATTGCATCTAGGAAGTAACTAACTTGCTTTTGATTTTTCAGGCTCATAGGCAGAAGGGACTTGCCTTGTCTCAGATAATACTTTAGACTGTGGACTTCTGAGTTAATGTTGAAGTGAGTTGAGACTTTGGGGGACTGTTGGGAGGGCATAATTGGTTTCAAAATGTGAGGATGTGAGATTTGGGAGGGGTCAGAGGCAGAAAGATATGGTTTGGCTGGGCTTCTATTCAAATCTCATCTTGAATTGTAATTCCCACAATTCCCAAGTGTCATGGGAGGAACCTAGTGGGAGGTAATTGAATCATGGGGGCAGGTCTTTCCCGTGCTGTCCTCGTAATAGTGAATGAATCTCATGAGATCTGATGGTTTTAAAAATGGAGGTTTCCCTGCACAAGCTCTCTCTTTGCCTGCTCCCATCCATGTAAGACATGACTTGCTCCTCCTTGCCTTCTGCATGATTGTGAGGCCTCCCCAGCCATGTGGACCTGTAAGTCCATTAAACCCCTTTCTTTTGTAGATTGCCCAGTCTTGGGTATGTCCTTATCAGCAGTGTGAAAACAAACTAATACAATGGGTGAGGGCATGATGGTGCAGACAGTATGCATGAGTGCACATCCCACCTCTGTCACTTTTAGCTGTGCCTCACAACCTCTCTGTGTCTCCTGTAATAGGAGCATAATAATGGCATCTGGCTTGTAAGGTGAAAGAATTTTATACATGTGAGGAGCTTGGAATGGTGCTTGGCAAGCATTCTACAATATTAGTTATTGCTTTATTATTTTTTTAAAATAATTATTCATTGCATGGGGGCTATTTACTTACAGACAAAGAAGCCAGGCCTGGAGTGCCTAGCTGTATATACTGTCATTGTCATCTACCACATGAACATATGTCATGTGGTCCAAAGAGAGCCATTCATTGCTCCCATAAAATCATCCTCAACCCAGGGTTATCGAGCTACGAGCAAGATTCTCTCCCTCATGTCAGATATAAAATGACTGGCATTTCTGTTACCAATTGCACACTTTTCTTACCATTTTATATTTAAATGATTAATATTTTCTTAAATATATTTGTACGAAAAGCAAACTCTTTTCCACCTCCAAAAATGAAAATCAGTCTTATCCATACATAGAAGACAGCCAGGAAAACTATAAATGTGTTTTGTGTGTGTGTGTGTGTGTGTATTACACTTATGGATTGCTTTTGCCACTGCACATGGTTGAGCTTGTGGCTTGCCATTGTTTAGAAGCTTTCCAGCAAGAGAGAAGTGCTGATGACATACCTGGGCCAAAGGAAGGCTTGATCCATGAACACTTTCTCTTGAGGGGTTGGTTGGATTCAGATCAGTGACAACTTCTCAGCTCTGTGACTTGAACCAATTACTTTAACTCTGTAGTAGCCGTCTGTTTAGTAATACAGGTTCATAAATAGTATTTTTCTTTAAGATCACAAAGCAACTGGTTAAGACACCAGTACAGACTCAATGTTATGCATTGAGCCTGGAATATTGAAGAGATCAGCAATATTGAAGAGAAACAACCATTTATCTTGCTTTTTATTTTTTTAGAGACGTTGACTCCCTATGTTGCCCAGGCTGGACTCGAACTCCTAGGCTCAAGTGATCCTCCCAAGTAGCTGGGACTACAGCAGTAAGCGCCACCTCGCCCAGCTTGCTTTTTAATTTAAAGCAGGGTCTGCATATCATCTGAAGTAATCTGTCTTTGGGGACATCCCGCATGTCCAGAACTGCCATCCGGTATTGTGGCCCGAAGGCTGTGGGAAGCTTGGAGACTTATACACAAAGGAGGACCTGGATAAATGTGCCCGCACATCCTCACAGGCAGGGCGAATGGACGAGAGAGAGAGAGGCCGACCCGTGTTCCGCGTGTTACTGTGTACGGAGGAGTGGGTCCGAGGGACCGCGGTGTGGGCAGGGACAGGCAAGGCGGGAGACGAGGAGAAACGAAAGCCACATCGGTGGCGGATGTTCTGCACACAACTCACTAGCTGCCGCACGTTCCCCACTCCGCACTCAGCCGATCCCGGGACGGGAGCAGGAGGGCTGCACAGGGACTCCTGGACAGGTCGAGCTGAAAACTTCGGGGCGAGGGGTGGGGTGGAGACGCCCGCGACGTCAAGGCCGGGGTCCCGGAACACGCCGGGAGGAGAGTGTAAGGCAACCTCGGGGAAACCGGGAAGAGCGGCCTGGACCTCGGGAACGCCGCGTACCGCCGGGCGCACAGCCCATCCCGCGCGAACAGGCGCCAAAGGGGCGGTCCCGCGGTGCGCACCGCTTAGAGTTCAGGGGATGCTGCGCCCGGCCCTTCTGCTGCGCACAGTCCAGCCTAGGATCGCCGGCAGAGCGGACTCAGCGGGCCGGGTGCAGGCGCAGAGCTGGGCCTCTGCGCCCGGCCCGACCTCCGTCTATAAATGGAGCAGCCGGCTGCAGGGCTCCAGTGCACTTTCCAACTGCCTGACTGCGTTTTTGCCTTACCGGTGGGAGCTCCAGCATCTCCTTGGCTCGAAATGGACCCCAACTGCTCCTGCGCCACTGGTAAGGGAAGCTCTAGGCCCTGGAAGCCCCATTTCCCAGCCCTATTACAGGGGGTCTCTGGGTTTCAGGAGGTCGCATTTAAAGTTCTGAGCGACGGGGACTCCATTACTTCGTTAGGTGCTTTCTTCCTGATCACGCCCCTGAGAGCACTGCCCTCCTCCCTGGGCCTCTACCTCAGACTTAAGGATACTGAGGCTCAAGGCTGAACTGCTCCACATCTCCCAGTTGGTCAGGGTCCTGCTGGCTGGGCCCCAGTGTTCTCCTCCAGGCTCTGAGCAATCAGGGTGGATAGGGGGCTGGAGACATTGATTCTTCAGGGTTCAGGACAGAAGGTTCTGGCTCGCAATCTCAATATTCCTGGGTTGGATGTGGACGTGGGACCTTCCTGGTGGGGTAAACAGGAGGGTGCTTGCCCTTCCCAGTGTTAGTGGAGAGGACATGCGGCTTCTGTTCCTCTGTCCTGAGTGGGGAAGGAGCTCTGAGGGCTGGCCCTGCACAGAGGAGGGGGCACCGAAGACTCACTGACCCACTGCTGTACCTTCTGCATCTCACTCACTGCTCACTGCGTTTTTCTCTTCCTTGCAGGTGGTTCCTGCACGTGCGCCGGCTCCTGCAAATGCAAAGAGTGCAAATGCACCTCCTGCAAGAAGAGTGAGTGCGGGGCCATCTCCAGGAATCTGGGGCTGTGGCTAAGATTGGGAGGGAACCCAAGGCTGGCCCTGAGTGCTTCCTTCTGGGGAACTGGGATTTCTTTGCCCCTGTTGGCCATGTCATTCCCTCTCCATGCTTTCTGCCTTGAGTTCAGATGGGGCAGGGAAGCATTTTTCTCTTGGGACGCAACCCCCAACTGTACCCCCTATGGTTTCAGAACAGAGCTGTGCCAGACAAAAAAAGCATCCTCTGGGTCTGGCGTCTGAGCTCGAGCCAGGCTTGCTATTGGGACAGGGAGGTGCCTGGTCCAGTCTACTGCCACCTCTCACTCTCCCCTTCTTCCCCAGGCTGCTGCTCCTGCTGCCCCGTGGGCTGTGCCAAGTGTGCCCAGGGCTGCGTCTGCAAAGGGGCGTCGGAGAAGTGCAGCTGCTGTGCCTGATGTGGGGACAGCTCTGCTCCCAGATGTAAATACAGCAACCTGCACAACCTGGATTTTTTTTTTAATACAACTCTGAGCCATTTTCTGCATTTCTTTTTATATTAAATATGTGATTGTTTTATTGTCATAAAAGAATTTTGACTTGAATCTTATTCTGTTCTTTGTGTGTCTTGGAAAAAATGGACTGGGTGGGGGTTGAACCAGGAGTTTAGAGACCAGGCTCTGGATGGAAATGTGAGTCACTAACAATGTTAACACTTTCAGGCCAG